GGGGGGGGGAGGGACGACCCTCTGCTGTCCATCGCGAGGCCGGCTCTATGCTCCTTCTCTCCCCCAAGCTCGGGAGTATAGTTGGTTCACTAAATGTAGACACCATTGGCCTGGAGCCTGTCCCGGAGCCCCATTGTGCGCGTCATAACGACGCGGCAAGCCGGGTCCGGGCCACCCGAACGTCCCTTTCCTAGGGCAGCCAAGAGCGAGTGTGGGGAGTGCGCGGGGGCGGCCAAGGCAGGCTCAGGCAGCGAGGCAGGCGCGGGCGTCTCCGGCAGCCCTAGACAGGCTACCTGACCCTTGTAATGTGCGTAACCGAACAGCTTATTGCGTCGACAAAGAGAGCCCAGCGATTGTTTCGATTTTCGTTTGTGTTCGTATGGTGTCTACATTTAGTGAACCAACTATAGACGCGTGGCCGCGCGGTCTTCTCCTGACCAATCCGTTCCGCGCCATTGTCTTTTCCGATTTGCATCTCCGGGACTTGAGAACCCCGTGACAAAAGAAAACAGAAATAAAGGAACGCCTCAAGAAAAACCACCAATACACCCCCCCCCCCCAAAAAAAAGAGAAAAATAACATTAGATGTACGTAGAAAGTACCTAGTGGAGCTATTTTTTTTTCAAGCCACATAATTCTGCAAGAGAAATAGAACAATGAAAGCCCTTATGTGAGTATATCGCCCACACCAAGCCTTGTGCTCTTTGATCGCTGTCGTTGTTCTTTACCCACGATTGCATTCCTGCTCGACCATTACTCATCAAGCTCTTTCGGTAGAATCAAAGTGCTGCGCTCGACTGATATGACTCAGGCAGCTCCTCCGTACCCCCCCCCCCCCTCCCCCGCGCACCTGGTGCAAGCGCGAGACTGTTGTGCTGCTCTGCGACACATCTCCATATCCATGTGGTTTGGAGCGTCGAGTGTCGTGGCGGGGCTTGGCGGGGCGAGGCGAGGCGAGGCGTGGCGAGGCGAGGCGTGGCGTGGCAAGGCGTGGCAAGGCGAGGCGTGGCGGGGCGTGGCGCTCAGAGCCGGCGGCACACAGTAATTTGCTCTTCCTCATTGCAGTGCTGTGTGTCTGTCCGCAGTCTGCCCAGTTTGTAGCGTGGCAGCCAAAAAAGGGAAAAAAAAAGGCAAAACACAAAAACGCGCGCTCTTCGCTGCGCTATATATTATACTCGCCCGCCGCCATCTATTCCTGGCTGGCGAACACGTTACATTGTAGCTGGAAACTGACCCAGTTTTCATTCAAACAAAGGCACAAAACACCCTCTCCCCGGGCACTATGAAGTTTCGTGCCTTTCCAAAGGCACTAAACTTGTATGGAACTCATATGCAGCTAGCCAGCTAAAGGTGTCAAAGGTCTCATTTAGCGCCTTTCCAAAGGCATTAAACTTTCTTAGCGCCTTTTAAAGGTAGGGATTCGCACCTTTGCTTTTCAGTGTTGCCCCACTTTTCCTGTTTTATACTCACAAACTTCCGTGAGCGTAAACACATGACTGTTATTATCATCGGGTAATTTATTTGAGCTGTACTGCTAGAATAATAAAAATTATCGCATTCATGTTTTTTAATTAAAAAGAAGGAGATTTGACGGAACACGGGAGAACTGGAAATTAGACATGCACGCCGCGCCGCCGTTGCGCCGCCGCCGATATAGTTTGGCCCGCCGCCGCCGCCGTTCAAAAATCTGCGGCGCGCCGCCGCGCCGCCGCCGTTAAAATTGTCGGCGGCGTAGCCGGCGGCGCGGTCCAAATTCGTCACTTTTGGAGCAAAATTGGTGCCCAAAGACAGGCTACCAAACGTGCAGTCCTCTCACTACTTCGACCCATTCCAACAAGAAGTGATAATGCTCTAGACCATTAAAATTGTTGTGAATTTAACATTTTTAATTCGACATATTCAAAATTAGCGCTCATTTGAACAAAAAGCGCCGGAAACGCCGCCGCCGCCGCCGCTGGTGCACTGGTAAAACAAGTGTGCAATATTTGCACACCAACGTGTGCAAGTTGTGATTTTGCACATTACATGGTGTTTAACTCAAGTTGCACACTTGCGTGGTGTGCAAATTTTAGACGTTTTGTAAACGTTTAAATTCTGCACACTTGGACACACACAGTTCTATGCTGTCAATAGGGAAACATATGGTGTGCAGCT